CCCAAGAACACAACACAATGTCCCCGGCCAGGGCTCGAACCCGGACCGCTCGATCCGGAGACGAGCGCACTAACCATGAGGCCACCGCGCCTCCCGCAAATGCTTACTGACATCGCTTTTTTCTGACAGATCCCCCTCCCGTCTCGACAGAAGTGGACGTTGCTTTCGCAATAAGTGCGAATTCCGTGAACTACAGGCAGACATTCAGACTAATGAAAGATACTATAGCCTGGATAATCAGCAACTATGGGACAGAAAAGCTGCGTTATTCTGTAATCCTGTTTGGTAACGATGCCAAGATAGAACTGGACTTCGATGGCGACATTTCCACCCCAAATAAACTGATACAGTTTGTCCAGGAACTTCCAAGAAGACGCGGCGGCCCTGATGTCATCTCAGCTCTGGAAGAGGCTAAAAGAGTGTTTGAATCTGCTTCTGCAAGACCCAACGCGTGGAAGGTTCTAGTGGTCATCACTGATAAAAGATCTGGCTCAAGTTTAACAGATATTGAAAAAGCTGCCGAGCCCCTGGACGAGGATGGTATTAAGGTAGTACCAGTGGCAGTAGGCGGTGAAGCTGACCCGTCTGAACTGGAGGCTACCAATCCAGAGAGATTTGTTATTACGGTACCAAGGACTGAAGAGCCCAAGACTTTAGGGAAGCAAATCATGGAACATGTTATTAGACGTAAGTCAACACTAGATAGCTATTTTAGGTCAGAACATGTCTGAATGAACTACAGTGGAACCCCTATTAAACGGCCACCCTCGGGGAAATGGACTGTGGCCGCTTAATAGAGGTAGAAACAATAGAAAAGCCATCACTGGGACTTCGATTGCTGGCCGCCTAATAGGGGTGGCCGTTTCATAGCTGGCCGCTTAATAGGGGTTCGACTGTACTTGTGATGTAGAACTTTTGATTAACAGCGAATTAGCTATAAAGTTCAGCAGGTGTGAAGGTATTATTCAGAGTTACATTGGTTTAGGCGAGGTTAGAGCGGTTTCAATTGAGAGCCTAAAGTAATCGGGTAATTAATTTGGTTTTACCACGGTTTGGAATTGGCTGGGTAGTCTAATTGGTAAGTAAAAGTCCATTTCCGAGTTACCTTAAGCCTCTCTATCAAAGCGAGGCCTAGTGCACAACCATCCATATGAAAATGAGTTTAATTTGCGTGTGAGTGAAATCTCATTTTCATGTCAGAGGATGGGCACTGAGACTCGCTTTGAGAAAGAGGTTAAAGGTAATTGGGAAACGGCCTTTTGGTTGGTTTTGGTTTTACGACATTCAATTGAATCTATAATAAAACATGTTTATTGTTGAATACCACAAGAGTAGAAAATGAAAATTATTTCTATACTGCTGCATTACATACCCTGTCATTTACATTTTGCAGCCAAGTTCCTACCCATTGATATCGCCTTTGCTCTGAGTGCGTCTGGGATATCTGCTAATAAAACATTCAGCTTAATGAAGGATACAGTTCAGCGTATTGTGGACAAGCATGGAACGGGAAGCTTGCGATATAGCATCATTTTGTTCTCGGATTCCGCCAATATCATCATACGATTCAGTGAGAAATATTCCAGTCTTGATCAGTTGAAGACATCCATCGGAGCTCTGCCTCTTCGCACCGGAGGCTCCTCCCTTACTGAAGCCCTTAAAGCTGCTAAGAACGCATTCCAAGACAGCGGGGTCCGTAAGGACGCTACCCACGTGCTTGTTGTCATCACGGATAAGAGGTCTGGGGAGAGAGAAGACGATGTTGAAAAAGCTGCCAAGCCTCTAGAGGAGTCTGGGATCGTGGTCATTCCTGTTGGTGTTGGAGATCAAGTTAATGATAAAGAGCTTAACATAATAACAATTAACAAGGACAATGTGATTCTTGTTGATGAGGAAGAAGACCCTGATAATTTGATGGTGTTGATTATGGCGAAAATTAATGGTACGGCGTGACAGAATCTTGTTAACATGTACTCTATTGAATTTCATTTTTCAATGTGAACTTTGAAAGATTTTACAATTAGTTTTGACCCCACGTACGCCTGTTGACGTTTGCGTCAGTTTGTGGTTAAGAAGCTAGCGGTGTTACGTAATATATCAAACAGGAAAGACCATGCTTGACCACATTTCGAAACACCGAGAAGAGAGTTGAAAATACGACGCGCAGGGGAGTATTTTTGACGAACTTTGACGAACTTTGCGGGGTATTTGTTTGATCAAACACAGTCTTGAATGTTTGATATATCTTCGCGATCAAAACGGAAACTCGGGAGAAAACGGAGAAATAAATCGTAAAATCTATGGTAGTTAAGTTCAGATATTCAAACACCGACACGGTCATGATTTCGTTTGAGTAAACTTGATGACTTATCAATGATTTTGAAAAATGTTTTTCCGCCCTTAGCTTCCTACCGTTTTCTAGTTCCCCTTGTTTTGTCTTTTCATTTAGTAAAACTGCATGCAGAATTGATAGAAAAACGCTTAAAATCATTTCATGTTTACAGAAACACGAAGACCACCACCAGTTGACCTTGCATTTGCTCTCAGTGCTTCCTCGTTACAGTCTCGGAGCTCCATCAAATTGATGAGGGATGTGATAAAAGAGATTATTGAAGACTATGGCACTAGAGACATACACTACAGTTTTATTATCTATGGCTCTGAAGCCTCCACAAAATACAGCTTCACAACTGACCCAGTGGATCAAGACTACCTGCAAAACTTCGTGGAATTCATGCCCGTTATCAATCCACCGACATCACCTCACGTCGCTCTGGAGGAGGCCACCAAAGCGTTCAAAGGTGCAGGAGTGCGCGCAAACGCTACCAAGGTACTTGTGGTGATGACAGACATGAAGGGAGATTCTACTAAAGAGGAGATTGACGCGGCCGCTGACCCGCTGAAGCAGATGAAGGTCAAGGTGATAGTCGTGGGAATTGGTGCAAATGTCGACAACAATGAGCTTGCTAATGTCACGGGTGATAATAACAATGTAATCACAGTACCGGTGGATGCAGACAAGGATTCATTGACCAAAAAATTGATGAAGAAAGTTTTCCAGCCAGGTATTTTGTGCCTCTGTCTTTTGTCTCACTGATATATGTTTCCTTCTTTCCAGGTTATTCTCATAACCAACATTGTAAGACATGGCAATCAGCAAAGGGTAACATATTGGTGCTCCATTTTCAATTGAAGAAGATAACTAAGTTTTAATTCTTCATTATTTCAGTTACTATTGTTATTTACGTTATGTCCAGTTTTTAAGCTTTACGTTGTCGAGATAATTGAATTTTGCATGCTTGCGTATCACCCTGGTGCAGTGCTTGTAAGCATTGCGTAAAAGTGGATATGGCCTTCGAAAAATAAGTCTTTTTTTCAGATTTGGGCAGAGGAAAGCATCATGACATTTTTGCGATATTAAAAATACTTACACCACATAGAAGAAGGCTTTAGCCTACCCTTTTTGCAAAAGCAATGAATGGCGTAAACGTTTCCTGAAACACATGCAATATCACGTGTGTTATGGGTCAGTTGAGGCTGCGAGACTTGTGCTGGATTTCCTTACACGCTGTTAACCTTTTAAGGTCTTTGTACTGCGATTTTAGCGGTTTTATTAAGAAAACATGCTCGTTTCTTTTTTTGCCATGTTTAGTTCCGCCTGTGGTTCCAAAGATTGATCTTGTGATCGCCATAAGTTCAGTGTCTTCTAGTGCTGATGAAGTGTTCCAGAAGACACAAGACGCAGTCGCTTCTATCACTGACAAATATGGTACAAACGACATACATTATGCTGTCATCCTCTTTGGAAGCGATGCCCAGGTCGTCATCGACTTCGATTCTTACGCTACAAGTGAACAGCTGAACGAAATGTTCTCAAACCTACGTCGCTTAAAGGGAGGCCCTGTGTTAGATGAAGCCCTGAAGCTTGCAGGACAAGTGTTTACATCACCAGGAGCGCGAAGCGACGCACACAAAGTCCTGGTTGTGATCACAGACAAGAAGACGTCTTCCAAGCTTGATGATGTCATACTTGAAGCGAATAAGCTTGAGGATATGGGAGTGACCGTGATTCCCTTGGGGATTGGTGCTGAGACTGACAGAAATGAACTAGAAGAGCTTACGCCTGATGTGACGGACGTCATCACAATTTCCAAAGTACTTGATGCTGACGATCTTGGAAGGAAGATCATGGAGAAGGTTTTGAAAGGTATTGGTCGAGCATTGTAGGTCGGCATTGATTGCAGAATACCAGATGTTGCATTTAATATTGGCGTAGCATTATGCATCAACAATTATGCATTTTCAACAATTAGAGGGCGAGGGCGAGGGCGAGGGCGCAACCATTCAAAACTTTATGTAAATCCTCTTCACAGACTCGTCGAAAGCGTAAAGAAGGGGCCGGCAGTTTTTTAACAAGTGCACACCAAGACGCAAACTGCTAGGCTACTCACTATCTACAACAGAATAGATATTGAGGATAGAGTAGCCAATCAGAGAACGGCATTCGTGATAGAACGCTAGTAGATTTATACTAAAAGTGGATAGACCCTATCTTTGTAATGGCAGTACTAAAAATGACAAATGCCTTGCTGGAAAACAAAATGGATGACACGAGAAAAAAAAATGAGTGAAAAAAAAGTTAAGTCATCACCCAAGTATACAATTTTGACAAAGTATTAAATCAGGAGCCATAATCGGGGACGGAGACTGTAAGCGCGCGCCATTTCTCGTATTGGGG